GGCATGAACCACTGCACCCAGCCAATCTCTTCATTTGTCCAGAGTTGGATGAGGTGATTCCCAAAGCCAAGAAGTACCCTCCAGGGCAATTTCAGGCAAATTCTCCCTTGCCCCTGAGTCTCTGTCTTCCCATCTAAGAGAGAAGCTTAGGGATGACGATCCCAAGGAGCCTCAATTATTCATTTCAAAAGCTCCATCTCTTGCTCCCACAGCCGGTGGGTCAGAAGAAGCCACTTACCCGACTTCCCTCACCCTGCCCGCTTGTTTTCCACAGGAGACTTTGCCCACCATCCTTGCTGTCGCCGTGACAAGGAGCTGAATTCCCTGCATCCTGCTGGCCGCCTGCGGCTCCTCTTGTTTGGGGAAAAGGCTGTGGGAGCCGCTGATGGGCAAGGTGTCAAAACCAATTGGTGTGAAGGACTTGGGAAAACCGCTTGCGAGGGCCAATTCCCCACAGGAGGCTGGGAAACCCTCAGCCCAAGGCAGAGTGTTTACAGGCGTAATTGATAGAATAATCACCAACGCCCGAGACAAAGACGAACACATTTTTAACATCATAACCTTCGGAAGACAGGACTCAATTTTCTCCATCTTCCAGCCACCAAACTAGCCGGCTTATTGATGGTGAGATACCAACAGTTCAGTAAGGAACGCAAGGAAGCCAAAGTCATTTTTCAGTGCACAGGCTGCTTGCCAAATGGCCCAGTACCCCCTCCTTCCCCCAGCCCCTGCTGGTCCCTCCTGGCAACAGAAAGAATCTCAGGACAGTGAATCACTCAATGGACGAAGCCCCGGGCCAAGCCAGGATCTTTGTCTGCATTGGGGTATATGAATAATTGAAGGTGCAGGCCTAGGAGTGTGTGTGTGTGTGTGTGTGTGTGTGTGTGGCAGGGTGGGGGCAGGAGTAGGGTTGTTTGCTGCAGTATGAGGCTTCTTGGGGCTCCTCTCAGGGGCCATCCACCTGCCGCATCTGGACCTCTCCGTCCCCTGTGAAACCAAACCAAGACAGCCCCTAGCATCAGACAGTTCTGGTCCCTATATCCCCCGTCAGATATGGGTAAATACTTAAGGTAGTGGCTTCCAAACCCCAGGCTGCATGAGAATCCTCTGGGGAACCTATTAAAATGCAGATTCCATCAGACACGTGGCTCACACCTGTAATCCCAGCACTTTGGAAGGCCAAGGAGGGAGAATGGCTTGAGCCCAGGAGTTCGAGACTAGCCTAGGCAATATAGTGAGATCTTGTCTCTCCAAAAAATCTAAAAATTAGCTGAAGGTGGTAGCGTGCGCCTGTAGTCCCAGCTACTCAGAGGCTGAGGTGACGGGATCGCTTGAACCCAGGAGGCAGAGGTTGCAGTAAGCAGAGATTGTGCCACTGCACTCAAGCCTGGTCGATAGAGCAAGACCTTGTCTCAAGAGAAATTTTTAAAAAAATAATAAAATGCACATTTCAAGATCCCAACAAATAACCGTTCTGGCAGTAGGTTTAGGGGGATCTGCATTGTGACAAATTCCCTGGGGGACTCTGCCATGTGAGGCTTCCTGGGTCCTCTGCAAGCTGGCAGGGGTCTATGGAGATCCTCACAAAGACCCTGCCTGTGGGATCCCTACCCTGGACAAGATCTGGAAAGATCCTGGGGCCCAGCCCAGCTGCCTGTTTCTAACTTACAGGTATCCCCGGCGAGATCCTGCCACCTTTCTGAGTGGCTGGTTCCTCTTGGTGGAACCCGCTGCTTTCCTGGTTCTCTGAGAAGCTGGAAGGCAGCAAGCTTGAGTCACAGCGACACAAAGGAAGAAGCCATGGCCAAGCCTGCCTCGAGGCTGTCCTGGAGGAGGCAGGCCCAGAACCACCAGACACACCTTCATTCTAAACACAGCTTTCCAGCTCTCCGTACAGACTCTGCACCCTTGGGCAGGTCACTGGCCCTCTCCGAGCCTCAGTTTCCTCCTATCTCCAATAGAAGCCTTGCATGAATGGTCAGCCTGAGTGAGTTAACACTGGCAAGGGCTTGGCAGCACAGGGCATACAGTAGGCATTTTGTCGATGTTTGCACCTTTTCCTCCCATTCCTGCTGTGCCCATGGCAATGAGTTAACATTTTCTAATAAGAAAAAATCAAAGTGACTCCAGTTTATTGAACACCTACTAGGTGCAGATACTGACCATCACCGCCCCACCTCCCAATGCCTGATGCCTCCTTGAGAGACATGCTCCCCATTCATTCCTCACACCTCTAAAAAGCCCTCTTCCAAGTGGGTTGAGTGGAGGTGGGAGGGAGATGGGAAAAAAACCAGAGGTCCTTTCTGACCAGTCTGACTTCAGGCTCTCTTTGTGACAAGCTCCAGGGCAGGTAAGTGGAAGGCAAGAGCCCAGTGGCCGGGCTGGGGTCAGATAGAGCTGGAGGGGTGAGCAGCCACCAAGCACCTGGGGCCAACTTGCCCCTCCCCAGGATCCTCTGCTTCCAGTCCCCACCCCCTACCCCCAGACACAGACACCTTCCTGACTGGGTCACATTTCCTGAATCAGCTGAGGACACACGGAGCCCAGGAATAATGAAACGATCAGGCTCCAATCTGCTAAACAGCAATTTCTGAGCTTTTTCAGCACACACAGCTTTTATCAAATTGGTATTCTCCTCCTGAACACAAATGGCTTATTAGACATGACCCACTTATTCGCCGCGTCTCACTATCATTAATAACAGTTTCTTTTTGTGATTAAGTGAGTGGCTCCAAACCCTTCCTGTGGTGGCGGGCGCTTGGCCCAGCAGAGGGGCAGCTGTGGGGGCTCCTCGGCAGCCAATACTTGGTGACTTTGAACCTAGCAATGTCGGGAGAAGGCAGCCCGGCCTCCTTGTTTCTTTAGGGACACAGGGAGACCCAGAGGGGTGGCTCATTTGCCCAGAGCCACACGGGAGGTTCAGGAGAGAAGCCAGGTTCTCCAGGAGCCAGGGGTGCCTCCTCATCTAGCCCCTGCCCCGGGCCTTAGCTTGACCCTCCAGGGTGCAGAGGGGAGATTATAGCTGGTTGGGCAGAGCTGTGCCCTCTCAGCTTATCTGGCACCAGAGGGCAGGTAGAGACTGTCACACAAAGGGCAGACAGACCCTGCTTCTCTATGGGGGGGCCACCGTGGGGCCTCAGGAATGACAGAGTGGCACCTAATTCCCAGGGGTCTGGTGCTCTAGGGACAGAATGACCATCAGCCTCAGAGTCCCATTCCTCGTAACCCTCAGGACTGTAAACTCAGGGAAGCCCTTCCATGGAAACCCCTCCTGGTGTAAGTTCCAATCATGCCAAGGAACTGAGTGGAGTAAGAAGGGGAGAGGTGGGGAGGGAGAAATTCCCAGTTTCCCTTGAATGGGAGGGAAGCTGACATGGAGATAAATGTCCTGGAAAAAAAAGCGCTCTTTGCCCGACAGACCCTGGGGCCTTTCCTGGTTCACTCTCTTTCTGTGTGACCTTGGGTAACTTCCTTCACCTCTCTGAGCCTTGGTTTCCCTATCTGTAAGTTGAGGATCAAAAGAACCCTTTCCTTATTCACCACAGCTCTAGCCAGGTCGGTAGAAATTAGATGAGGGGTATGAAGGGTACATAAAAACGCACACAGCGGTTACTACCAAACATGGTGAGGCAGAAGGGGGCAGGGAGTCATGGTTCCCAAAAAGCACAGACCCTGAGGATGGGTCTTTGAAGCCCCCTTCTCCACTGGAGCAAATCTAGTCATGCGCCACACCCCAGCAAAGCCCTGATTATCTACCCCCCTTACCTCTCACTCATTCCCGTCAGAATAAATCATCAATTCTCTGGCCTTGGTGCAAACCTCCCTGCAGCCCTGGGCCCACAGTGCCCAGTACTGGGGCAGCAGCCTCCCCCATAGGGAAGGGTGGCATGGGAGAAAGATCTCCTTTGGTTTCATCTATGCTTGAGCCCCTATCACAGAGCCAGGCTCACAGGGGCCAGGGGAGCCCCCACAGCTGCCAGGCTCATACAGTCCAACTCTGCTGCCAACTTGGGCTCCTTCGGGGCTAGCAGGAGCTTCTGACACTCAGCCAGCTAGTGCTGGGAATGTTTGTCTGCTCCCCGGCTCCCACAGCGGCTGGAGTTGAGAATTCCCACATTTCAGTCCTTCGGGGCTGAGGATGAGGATGGGGGATACCCTATGGAAGGATGGCAGCGGCTCCCTGCACACCCCAAGAGGCAGACAGAAGCACCCAGCATTCCACTCCCACTCCCAAGCCTCGGGCTGCAAGCAGCAACCCCAACTATTCCGTTGTCTCTGAGGGTTTCCACCAAGCGACAGCCGCCCAACAAAGAGACTTCGGCCCCAGGCAACCAGTTCTCAAGAAACAGGGTCTTCTGCCCTCCAGGACCTGACACTGGTATAAGGAGCAGGTGTGGAGAGGGAGGGGACAAGGGCCTCTGCAGGGTTAAATCCATGGAGAGTAAAGTCAGATGGGCAGAGAGAGGTGGGTGAGCAAAGTATGTTCATTTTGTGTGTGTGTGTGTGTGTGTGTGTGTGTATGTGCGTGCACCAGTGTGTCTGTCTGCAGGTGGGCAGGCAAGAGTTGTGGCAAAGCGTGTGCGCCAGCTGGCAGAGTGAGCCCACCGGCGCAGTGCCTGATGTGCGTGTATAGTGGGCATAAGTGTAAGGGCTTGCAGTGAGGAGGGGGACCTGAGGCGCGTGTGGAGATGTGCAGGGTAGGAGTTGTGAGTGTGAGAAAGCAGCGACTGTGCCTGTGTGTGTCCACAGCGGTGCATATCGGCGTGGCCATGGAGGTGTGTGTATCCGTGCGGGTGTGGGAGGCAGGAGGTTCGGGGGTGCGCCCCCTCCTCCACAGAGCCGGCTGGGGTGCCAGGGCGGGTCCACCGTGCCGGCAGGGGGCGTCCCGGGATTCCCGCCACTACCGGCGCCGGTTCGAGCCCTGGGGCGGCCAAGTTGGAGTGGCGCGGCCCCGGGTGGGGTTTGGTGGGGAAGTCCGCGGGGGAGGCGACCGAACTCACCGTGGCCGGAGACATGGTTGTCCCAGGGCGCGTGGCCGGCAGGCCGCGTGGCGCCGCCGAGTTGCAGGAAAAGTGCCAGGTAGTGGAGGGCGCCCAGCGTCACCGCGAGCGGGGCCCCCATGCTGCGCGCTCGGGCCGGGGGCGCCGCCGCCTCACATCGGGGCCCCAGAGACCGCAGACCCCGTGCCTGCCGTCCTCTGCCCTGCGCGGCCTGGCTTCCCGGCTCCGGCCGCTGCCCCTGGCCCGCTGTCCTCGGCCCCACCCGGTTCCCAGCCCTCGCCGGGCTCCGGCCCAGCCCCGGCTGAGGGGAGCGAGCGCACGCTCAGCCGGCCGCCTCCGACTGCAGGACTCTTCCCTTCCGCGGAAGGCCACGCCGCGCCGCCGCCGCACCTTCCTCCCTCCTCCCTCCTCCCTCCTCCCGTCTCCCTCCTCCCTTCCCTCCTCCTGCCTGGAGCAGGCGGCGGAGGGATCTGCTGCTTGATTTATCATCAAAGTTTTGCCCAGGCTGGGATTTTTAAAGCGGTACCCGCAACTTTCCCCTGCCCGAGAGAGGGGGGCGGGCCGGGATGGGGCGGAGAGAGGCACCCCAGGGACGCGGTTCCCGCAAAGCATGACCCAACGGGCTTCAGCCACAGACACACCGTCCAGCGGGGAGAGGGAGAAAAGCCAGGGCAGCCGCCGCCAGCCAGCGCGCTCAGAGGATCCTAACTTTACCGGCAGGGCGGGGCCGGGGTCGGGGGCCAGCTGGCTGGGGGTGAGGGCGAGGTTGGGTGGGAGCCTGTGCTGAGACACAGGGGACCTGGTGATAGCTCTGCCGCCGCCCTTGGCTCGCTGTGTGATCGCGTTCGGGTGTCTACACCTCTCTGAGCCTCGAGGTCTTCATCTGAGAAAGCGGGGTAATAGCTGTCTGCGGGGGTCCTGGTGAGGATTTGCGGAATCGTGCATTCAAAGCGCTTAGCATAATGTCGCAGGCGTGGTAGGAGCTCAGTAGTGATTACTGTCGGTGTTCCCCTCTCTGGGACTTAGTTTTCGAGTCTTTGTAATGGGAGTGAGGCAGGCCAGTTGCTGCAGCTCCTGGCTCTGACGATACTGGGCCTTATGTAGTGGATGGGATCGCCCCCTTCTGGACTGTAGGCTCCTTCCCTAGAGCAGTGAGCCTCAATGGGGTTTGCGTGTGTGCGTGTGTGCCAGCGTGTGCGTGGATGTATGTGTGTGTACGTGTGGCAGGGGAGGGGGACAGAGCACCATTCCCATTCCCAAGAGCAAGAATTCCAACAAAGTCCTCCAATTCCTGCCCAACCCGTGTTAAACTGGGGCTGATGAGGCAGACCTTCAGTACAGACTGGAGGGCGGACCTGTGGTCCCATTTAAAACATGAAGACGCACCTGAAACTAGAGAATTAGCTTTTCTGAGGTCCCACGGCGAGTCAGCCGAGGCCCCTGACTCCCTGGCGGGTCCCTCCTGCTCTCATCCCTCGCCCTTCCCCAGGCCTCGCGGCTCACATGACCTGGTCCTCCCAGTTTCAGCACCACGGAGAAGGATAGCGCCAGCCCTCAGCGCCTATCCTTTCGGCACCGCGGACAGAGTCTCAGTTAGCCCTTTGATGCTAGGGTTCACAGAGTGGACAGGCCCTCGAATTTTCTCCCCCGTCCCCGCCGAACAGAGTCAACCCTTCTGACAGCCCACCCTCCACTCCAGAACACAGGTGGATCCCGCGTCCAGCACTGTGGACAGCGCCGTCCAAGCTTGAGAACGAGGTTAGAGCCTGAGGCACATAGCCCCTCGCTGTCTTCCTTCCGTCTTAGCACCTCCCCTTCCAGTATTTTTGGGGGTAGCACACCGATTGGACCCGTGGTAGTCAGCAACAATCCAGCTCCTTCCAAACTAAGGACACCTCCCCCACGATATCCTGCACTTACAAGCACTGTGTTCCAGCACCATCCACAGTCCCGCACTCCCTTCAGCACCGAGGACAGGTCCCAGAAGTCGCCCCCTCACCTTCGGGCCAACACGCCCTGAAGGAAGGGGCTGTGTTTGCCTGATTCTCTCACTTCTCACTTTCTTTCCACACAGAGGTGGTGTTTAGGTTATCCTGGTCTGCTCAGGTGTCTTGGGCTTTACACACGCGTTTTGTCATTTATTAAATCCCCTGAACCTCGCTCCCAGTGAAATGGACTACTGCTTCCATGATAAAGATGTGGAAACTGAGAATCCTCCAGATCACATAGCAGCCACCATGTTAGTCGAACTAAAACCCAGGACTCCTTCAACCCCAGCCTGAGGGCTTGCCAGAAGACTGTGGTGACAGAAGTGGGACTCAAACACAGGCTTTCTCCTCTTATACCACAGATTGGAGGGAGCAGACACAGGCAAGGGGACAGAGAGGGAGAGGAGATTAGAAGACAGAGGAGTAGACAAGAGATTGCTCCTGGGCTGCAGAGGAAGGGGTCTGGGGGGACGGCAGCACATTTCTGCTGTGCCCCTAGTCCACCAGCTGACCTTCAGAAGTCCTTTCTCCCTGAAGCCTGGAACAAGGTCAAGATTCCTTCAAGGACAGACATCCAGGGATTGTATCCCTTTGAAAATGTTCATGATGTCATAGTTCTGCTAAAAACCCTCTGATGGCCTGTTTATGTGAGAAATCCTAATTTCTCTAGTTTGCAGTCAGGGTCCTGGCCTCACCTCCTGCACATATCCTGTGCTCTCTTGGGCATGCCTTGGCCTCATTACATCCTTACCCTTTCCAGACCTTTCCCTGTACTTGTATGCCTTCCCCTTTACCTAGCTAAGTTCCCAGTTGGCGAAGATTCAGCCTGAGTCCCCACGGGAAGACATGCCTGCTGTCTTCTCCCAGTCCCCAAACCTCTGTTGGCTCATCACTGTATGCCCAGCATGGCCCTAAGAACTTTCATTATTCCACTCAATCCTCAGAACCACCAGGCCATACAGGGTAGGATGGTGTGGTTAGAAGTGTGGGCTCTAGAGCCATATTCTCTGTTTTGAATCATGTCATTTGGTAGCTGTGTAACATTAGACAAGTTGCTTAGCCTCTCTGTTCCTCAATTTTCTCATCTGTTCCTCAATTTTCTCATCCTTCAAAGCAGGATGCTGGGGATCAAATGAGTTGCTACATGGAAAGCACTTAGAACAATGCCAGGCACATAGCAAATACATGATACATGTTGACTAGTGTTCTTGTTATCTGCAGATGAGGACATCAGTTCAGAAAAGTTAGGTATTTTACCCAAAGTGACATAGCAAGGCCATGATGTGTTTGATTCCAGAACCAATAAAAAATTCCATATGTTTGATTCCAACCTACCCAAGAGGGATGGGTAAAACTAGATGTGCCTAGGCATTATGCTTTCAGGCCTGGGCACATCTAGTTCAACCTACCCTCTTGGCACCTTAAGAAACTAAGACCCAGAGAAAGTAATTCACTTTCTCCGAGTCACACAGCCACTCATGACAAAACTGGATCCAGGTCTTCTGCCTCCCAGCTCAGGGATCTCCCTCCATACCGTAATGTCCCACTTGTATTTCCTGCAGCACCTAGACTGCACTTACAATTTACAAATCACATTCACACCCATGATCTCCTATAATTCATACAACAACCCCTGAGGCTGCTATTATTCCCTGCCTTCCTTTAGGGACGAGGAATGGAAGCTCAGAAAGATGACGTAACCTGCACAAGGTTGCACAGTGAGGTGGGGCAGAGGCCAGGTGTGAAAGGGCACATTCCCAGCTCATCCTCCTCCCCTGTGTAATTAATTGCACCTCTTGTCTGCTTCCCAATGCAAGTGCAATCTCTGGGAACCATGGAAGCCAAGAGCCTAGTGGAGGCAAAAAGGGAAGCAAAGACTAGCCCAGGAAACAGTCTCTAGGAATTCACAAGGTGGGTGGCGCTTGTCAGTCATTTCATTCTGGGAATGCTGCAGGAGACGGAACACCTCCCATTCCTGGAGGCTACTAAACAAGCATCTACTGGTCATGTGGATGCCAAGGGGCAAATATCACTGCTATTCCGTTACACAAATGAGGCTCAGAAGTGAGCATCACATCAAGTATTTCAATTGGGAAATAAGATATTTTTAAACTTCCCTCTAAGCATGGGATTTTGCACTGCCCCTTAGTGCTGAGCCAAGCTCCCTGGAGAGTCTCCATACCCTCCCCTTGACTCAGAGAGGCCACCCTCCCTTCCTCCTTGAGAGGTGTCACTTGAGAACTGTGGCTCTGTCAGTGGTAACAGCCGTAAGATTTGTCCTTTTAATCCAGAATCAATAACAAATTTCATTTAAAAATAAATTAAACCAGGCATTGGAAATCATTCACCATGTGGGCTGGGGCCCTATATAGCACCGTCTAAATGGCTTCCTTTTGCTCATCTATCAATGCCAAGAGAGGGGAAATACCTAGGCTGCCTGATTCATGGAGAAACTACTTAAATGTATCAGCCCCTAACAATGAGCAATGTAAGCCCAGAGTTGCACCTTTTAACACACCAATAACATGTGGAGCAAGGCTTCATGAGAGCTTATCAGAGCCCCCATGGTCACTGGCTTTGAGAGAACCCATTTATAAGGGGGAACAATGGCTTTAGTATGTAGCCACCTAATTTCCAGAATGCATTACTGAGCTCCGAGGAGCAATGGAATTCTATTAAAGTCTTATCTGCCACGGGAGGGTATGAAACCGGCGGGGAAATTCAGGCTTGGCATAGACATGCCCAGAAAGCAGCAGGGCTGACCCTAGGAGGTGGGTGAACAAGCCCAGAGGGAGTGGGGGGAGCAGGAGGGGCCCCGAATTGTGAAAATATGTGTGTTAATAAGAGCTCCAGTTTCTAGCGATTACGTTAACATCAGCGAATAAAACTTGGCAATAAAACATCGGAGCTGCGTCTCAGACAGCATTTCCTTTTACAGCCCGGTGTATTTCACTCATTATAACAGGAGGCAGTGAGCTCGAGGTGTCCTCATTTCTCCCCCTTTAATTAAATTTCCTAAATTACTGCCCAAGATTTGGATAAAGCGAAAGACTTACGGCTCCACTAATCGCCATGGAGGCTCCCGCCCCACCGCTGTGGTGGCCCTGACTGTACCGGTTTCCAACATTATTAAAGTGAAATACTGTGGGCATTGCCTGCCTGGGCTCTGGTTTTTAAAAAGAGATGCAGCGTCAGGAAGAAATTGGCCCATGGTCAGGAAACAGGTCTGGGTTTCAGGATGGGCTTTGCCATCACCTCCTTGTGTGACCTTGGGCAAGTTAGTTCTCTTATCCGAGACCCACAACTTCTCCTTTTCCACAGATGTTCATATTAAGGCTCTTAGGACTGATTTGTAGCTGGGGCAGTCCTTAGATGCACAACGGGATGACTGAGGAGCTTTAAAAATACATGAATG